CAGGTTGTGCTACACTGAAGCAAGTACTGATAAGTGTGAAATACAGGTTGTGCTACACTGAAGCAAGTACTGATAAGTGTGAAAGATAAGTTAAGCTAAAAAGCACCAATATGTGTGAAAGTGAAGTCAAGTTCAAGAAACCGTAACTCCACTGTCACACGGTACAGTTTTCTTGTTCAGTCACAACAATTATAGTATTGATAAGCACGAAAATTTTGGAAAAGAAAAACATTTTTATATGTTAAAAACAGGTTTAGCGAAAGGAATCGAGAATAGACATATTGAAAACTGGTACACATTAAGTATTAAACGCATAGTTACACATAAAAAAATTAGTAAAAGACATCAATTACTGACAAAATGAAAGACCTCTCCACTTAAAAATATCAAGTGTTGTCATATACAAAAGACAGTATTAGACAAAAGACAGCAAGTATTGACATACATGAAATATAGAATCAGCTAAAACAAGCAGTTACAATTAATGTGTAAACAAAGTAAAAATAGCTCAATTCCAGCAGTGAAAAAAGGGATCCACTCATCAGCGTCCATAATCACAGAGAGCATGAGGAATTAATATATATACGCGTGTAACAGCTGCAAGTATTGTGTACATATAAAACCAGTAACTTCAGATAAAAGAGTTAGTAGCACTAACTAAAGAACCATGTGAATTGCAAGCTTCACAGCCAGGTTGGAAGGCACAGATTACATAGCTCTGAAAAGTATGTTCGAGAGAAATTCTAAACATTCACAACTGATAATGTCTACCTACTAAAAGATAATCGCAATAAGAAAATGTAAGAAAGCCTGTGAAATGTGTGAATATTTAAAAAATTAATGAAGCATAGGTAATTTAGGGCAGTGCAATAGGTAATTTAGGGCAGTGCAAGTAAAAAAAGATTTCACATCTCTAATGGCTTACCAAAAACTGTCCTAATGAGAGACAGTGTCCAAATAGTTCGTTTTTCTTGTGTGCTAAGGCAGACATATCACTCAAGTTGTGGCTTCTGGATAGACTGGACAAATCTGAGACACTGTGGAATTTTGTGATTTGTGTTACTTGTTTCTCAAGGCTAACGGAAGAACTGTGGTGAGAAGAATTAGTAACCCGACCAGTTTTCCGTGTCACTCTATCATCTTTCAAACATTTATCAGATTGCTCACTTTTAGTCTTATGCAAGTTAGACAAATCTGTGAGAATTCGTTTTTGTAGAGTATTAACAGCAACATTTCTATGAGAGACTCTGTCAGTTTGTGTTTGAGCATCTTTAAAAAGTAATGGGATTGGAAGGTTTGGCATTAACTCGGTAGGGGAAGGACTTAGCATGAGCCGGGTATCGTGAGCTAGAGGGAAACAACAAGTCACATGAGCAGGCATATCAGTTTGTCTCTGTGACATACAGGTTTCAGACTCTTGACTCTGTAAATATGTAGGTAAGTTGTAAAGATGTGGATGACCATTCCTAGTGCTTCCCATTATTTTTGCAAGAGCCATTTCTAAAGTTCTAGGTACTTTATCTTCAGTAGGATATTGTTTCAAGTTGTATACTAATTCTGTAGAAGGGAAGGTGGCGTAACCACCCAATAAACCTTTAATATCGGGATTAGGAGATTCACAAGCTAAATGTTCAGTACTTGATGACAAAAATTCTGAAGAATCTGATAAAATTCGTAGTTGTTTCAAATTACTGTTTCCTGATACTATGTCTGTAAGATTAGCAATTGCAGTGTAAGGGAAATTTGTCGATTCTGCAGGATCACTCTGAGAGCGGTGATCACGAATGAATGGCAAGTGAGCATGAAGTGAAGGGATTTTTGGATCTTGGAGGTTCCCAGGTTCTCTGCTGTCATGGCCCTAATGACAGTATTATAAAAGGAAAAAAAAAGAATAAAAACCAAACACTTAACATAAAACAAACGAGTCTCCATGCAGAGTGCTATTAAACCTGAAAAACCATATGATAGAAACATGTAATAAAAGTATAATTCAGAGACTAAGATACCTTATTGGGTTAATATGCCAAAACAAACTTCTGAATAAATTATCATATGTTAATATCAGTATAAAGGAGAACCACTACTAATCCTATGTGCTGTATTATTAATATTCACACATGAAACTACATATAAACAAAACGTGATTCCATTTTACCTGGGTATTCTATTTTGAAATATTTTGAGCAGCATATTTTGTTATATGTTACACACAACACACACACGCAGAGATAAACGTAGGACATGCAGTAAAGTGTTAACATTGGAGAAAAGTTTTAGAAACAAATATTACTGAACAAAAAATGCAGTTATGATACGATATCTGAAACACCAAGAAATGTTGAAAAATGTTTTAAGGGAAAAGAATGAATTGGTCAACATTTTAGCCAAATGACCATCATTATAAGCAATGAAGGTCATTTGGCTGAAAAGTTGATTTTTTTAATTCTCTTCTCTTACAGTGACTTTAATCATTTTTTTTTGGGGGGGGTGCTTAATGTCACTCTTGTATATAAAATACAAATCACACTAATGTTACTGGAATGAGTTCATTTCAAGGTGTAACTATTCAATATTTTGGACTTAATAGGTACTAAACATTAGGTTTGAATGCTTTTCTTAGTAAAACAAATAAGTTAAATGCAACATGAAATTAATTAAATCAGTAGAATTTTAGGTTGAACAAAATATCTATACAAACATTTGGGTTTTTAAATAATAAAAATTCTACCTACCATTTTCCTAACAGAAACAAATTAGTATAAACCAGTGGTGTGCCAGCATTTTCTTATGGTGCACTACCCTTACTAAACATGCATTTTGTGCATATATGGTACATGTCATTTTCCCATACTAACTGTTGTTATTATATCACTTAACATTAATTATAATAATATTTGTATAGTAGTTTTTAAAACTTTACTTTTTTTAAACTTATACTTTCAACTATAACTTTATACTCCTATGGTCATAGTTTTGCCCCCCAGGGGGGTATACCTCACAGTTTGTGCACCATAGGTATAGACTGGTAGCATATAAGCTCCAATAATCATTTGGATGAAAAAAAACGATCAATTTTAAAAAATGCAAGTTCAAATCCCTCCTGGTCTTAACTGGCACACAAAAGAAAACAACTTCAAATAGACAGCGAGCACAAACTTACCGCTGGGCTAGTTTGACTACTTCCATCTTGAACAGGTGCAGCCACAGATAAGTTATAAAGTTCATCAACACCGTCAGTGGGTGACTGAGGAGTAGATGGTGAAAGATCATCCTGAATAACTACTGGTTTTACTTTGAAACGACCATACTGAAATGCTGGTTCAGAATTACTGACCGGAGAGTTACCATCACGGAGTTTAGGTTCTGAAGACTTAACAGTGATTGTCTCTGTGGTATTGATTACTGATACTACGCTGTTTGAATAACTTTTCATTTCAGTTGTCTTAGGTAACTGGATGTTATCAGGAAGTCCCTCTTTCACTGGGGTTACAAGGAACCGTGAAACCCTACTGCTCTGCTGCCCTGTCGCCACCAGGGCAGATACTTGGACCTTTTGTGATGCCAAGTTCTCTACAAGATAAATGTAAAGTTCCAATATCAAAATTTACACAAAATAATTGAATTTCATATTACTTTTAAAGTTTATTCCATTAAGTACACAAAAAATTATGATTGTACTTTACTCTTTGTTTTTGAGAAGGTTAATTTTCATCCATGGTTATGCCTTTCATAAACAGTTTTAGAATACAGAATTGAAGAGAAAAATAAAGACAATTGTACGTTTCACAAACACTTCATTTATTTTATAATATTATTTCTTGCTAGAGAAAGAGAAAAAAAGGTTGTCTGAATTGCTTGCTGCACATTAACCCGATGACTACCGGCTACTAACTTTCTTAGTAGGCAATGCAAGTGTGAGGG